CCGCCTCATGAGAATATTCCCCGGTGACATTGAGAAGACATTCATATGATATTAATGGAATATTCCACGGTTATATTGAATTTTTTTTAAATGTGTTTTTAATCTTCCTTCTTTTTTAAATAACAATAACTTATTTATAACACATTTCCATGATTTCAACACATTTAAAAACAAGTAGGAGGTCACAGAAGGCTTGGAATAACTTTAACCCAAATGTACTGGCCTATCTCGGCTCTCTTCAGATATTAATTCGACATTATTTTCTGAGTAATTTGAACCTAAGATGAAAAAAATCGGTAGAGGTATTTTCTAAAAAAGTCGATTTTTGTGTATTTTTAACTTTTTATAGTAATTTTTTTACTTCGAAACAGTTGAATACTAATCAATTCGATTTCTAATCATGCATAAATTCTTTCTGAAATTGGCGACTACTCAATTTAAAAGTGTCAAAATTAAAATTCTATTTTTTTTAATAATCTTGTATAAGGGTGATTCTCCACGAAGCGTACAATTCCATGTCCCTTGTGTTTTTTAAGAAATAAATTATACATATTGTATTAGATCCAACATGAGAAAGTAACTTTAATATTAAATTAAATATTATTTTTAAAATGCAAATTAAAGAGCCCACCTGTAATGGGGAATCCTGTCCCCAGTGTCATTTACGAGACAAAAATAAATATTTTTAGCAATATAAAATAATAAAAATAATTATTGGTATCGGTTTTTAATTGTCCAAGTTTGCAGATTTCAGAAAAACGTGGTTGTTAAAAAATATTATTTTTTAAATCTTTTTTTCGGTGTTAATTCTTGTCCCCAGTTTTGTGCGTCATGAGGAGGCTTTTTAATGAAACTGAATTATTTCATAAAAATAAAAAAAAAACTTAGTTATACTTTTGTAGAAGCAATAATTAACTCCCCCAAGGAGATTTATTATGGTAGAAACTAATTTTATAATTGATTTTTTGCTTTTACACCTTTAAAGCTCCAATTTTACATGGGGAATCACAAAATCTTCATAAGAAAGCCTTCACATATTTTATAATAAATTCACTAATTATCAATATTTTCTTTTAAATAAAGTGTAGTTGTATTAATTATTTAGCCAGTATAAATCCCGTAAATATGAAACAGACTGAAAATCGCTCATATATTGTTTAAAAATCAGTATTAATTGTGCGTCATGGGAAAGCTCTATTCATTAAAATGTGTGTGTTATTTAGTGGGATTTACATTATATGTTAATTTTTGTTAAATTGTAAAAATATATTTTGAATAAAAGCAATAACTAAATTATACGCTACGCGGAGAATTACCCATAAATTCATTACTACTCGCTTAAAAATATCAAAAGCTAGAAGTCATGAAGAAAATTCGTACTTTATTTGTCTTTTTTGTTTTGGAAAAACGTCAACATTAATTCTAATTCAAGGTGCAACAAATGATTTAGTCATAAAAAAACATTTGTTGCACCTTTAATTGAAATCTTTATAAACGCCAACAGCTTTTTGCTACTTCTCGACCGATCCGTATAACATTCTACAAGGAATCCACCTTGTAGATAGCTCTACGTTCGTCACGACATTGAACAGAACAATTTAATGTTCGAAACGACATTTAGAAGAATTGTCAAAAGTCCGATATGACATTTAACAGAATTATCAAATGTCCGACACGTCATGTAACAAAATTGTCATTTGTTCGACATAACATTTAATAGAATTGTTATATGGGCAAATCCACAGAACCGGCCGATTTTTACTTATCAAGATGAAAATTTTCCAAATAGCAAGCACACCTTTTATTTATGGTTTACTTTCTTTAAAATATATTCAAGAACAATTATCTTCTTGCGTGATTCATTTTATTTTAATGCCGTTTGAGTTAAAAGCCAAAAACGAAAATATTATTTTTCTTTTGGAAATTATAATTAAAAATGGCATTTCTTTGTTTTTTTTATATATTATTTGAAATATGTGCAAAACATTTTGAATAATAAAATATGATAAAATACAAATAATTAATTTTTTAATTATCAAAAATAAATTATTTATATTTTATCATATTTTATTATATATTTTATTTATTAGCATTTAATTTTTTATTTCTGTAAATTAAATTGTTTACTTACTAATTTTGATATTAACTATTTTAACCAACAAACTGACATTATTGACATCGATTTTGATATAACTTTGAAAATAAAACAAATGAAAGGATAATTCATTTTTCACGATTAACTAGTTAAATTTCGATAAATTTTTTTTTATTTTTAATTTTTAGACGTTATAAATTGAAAATATAATTTGGCGTTTGCATACAAGAATTATAATAATGTCTTTATATAATCACACATGTTTTCAACTCATCATATTTTATCCTGTAGTTGTGCTACTGAAAAAAGGCTAAGTTGAAAATGGTTCACGCTTAAACATAGAGTGATAATTATTGGAATATTTTCTTTAATTCTGATTGCACTCTATTCTATGATACATACATTTGTTCGTCTGTTCACAAGCAATAAGCTCCAATTTGAAAAATTCAAATCGAATAATCGCCGCAAAAGATATTTACAAAAATGTATAGACATTTCATTATTATAAAATAATGAGTAACGCTACTTTCAACGACTATCATTTCTTTTTATTTAAGAGCACATATTTTTTATTACTTTCAAAACATTCTTCAATAAGTAAACTATAATTCACCACAGTTTGGAATTGTTCGGATCTATGCCGAACAAGTTATACCTATAAGAATTAAAATTTATACCTGGAGTAACACCGTAAATTTCATTTTTTAAGTTACTTAATTCGATTTTATTTTTTATAAAAGACTAGAAGGTTCACATTTATTCAATTTTCTTATTTCAATAGGTTCTCAGAGATATTACAAAATGGTTGAAGTATGAAAATAATTAATATAATACTTCTAAAATAGAAAAATATGTGAGTAACATGAAATCGGCCGGTTCTGTGGATTTGCCCATATGTCCGACATGAGTAATAAAATAAAAATGTATTATTTTATAATAATTTTAAAATATATTAACAAATAATAAAAAAATTCAACTTAGAATCAATTTACATCCGTTGGAATATGTGTATAATTTTCCAAATCACTGCCAAAAATATATAGAAGATCACGGGGGTTCTGAACCTCGATTCTTATAGTAGATATATGTAAAAATTCTATGGAAGCTATTATTTTAGTTAAAAACTTCGGTAACATATTGAAAAACGGGGTGAAATGTAAAAGTCACGCGCTCACAGAGCGAAGGTACTCTTCGCTCGCACAATGTATGCTTTTTGCTTCCTCGTGGAGAAAGCTTTGTAGTCCTTTCGTTTATAAAATTTTTTAAAATGGTGAAAACAAATTTTCCTCTATATAGAAATATGTTATATAAGATCCTGATCAATTGTCTGGATGTATGTATGTGTGTGTGGATCGTTTATGTGAACACGATATCTTTAACAGGTTTTAATATCTGAATTAAAATTTGGTCGGATAAGAAACGGTTACAACCCTATTGAAAATCCCCACATGGGATCCTATATATTATGATTCCATATATGAGAGATTCTTTTTCAATCGCCCCAGTCCAAAAAGTCAATGTTCTGGGATTGGCTTCATACTTTGGTGAATTGTTGTCCTATATGATAGTAATAAATCCCTAAAATATAAACTCATTAAAAAAATATTTGTAGAAAGTAGAGGGAGTTGAAGTTTTGACGTTAAGGGTAACATTGTCATTTTCAAATCCGTATAACTATGACAAAAGTTAATGGATTTTAATTTATCTATAATGAATTTTAATGCATTTTTCTCGTACTTTTCAAAAATGTATACGTAATTAGAAAAGAAATTTTCACCCCTTTTTTCAAAATCAACCCTTATTTTTCGATTTTCACCGCTTCGGGTATTTTTTTTTATTTGCATTTGAAAAAATTCATGGAGCTAGTCTCAATTAGTACTAAAAGAAAAAAAAATCGGAGATGCAATTGCAGATGGACTTACACTTTTGGCATGGAATACATCATATATAAAGTATAGATTTGATTGAAATTTAAATAATAATTAATAAATGTTAAATAATAAAACATTCACATTTTAGATGAAAAATGTTGTGTTTATTACAATTCAAGTTTATATATGAAATAATTTTATTTCCTGCATTAAAACGAATCGATTGGTATAAAGTTCATATTTGATTTAAATTTTAAGAATTAATAAAAATTGAAAAATCAAAAATTCATATTTTAACTAAAAAAATTTGTGTTTTTTTAAATTCAAGTTAATACATAAAAAAATTGAATTCCTTGCATTGAAACGAATCGATTCGTATATATATAAAATATATGTTACACCCAAAATGAATTACAGTTTTCTTAATTTTTAAAAAAATATAATGAATTTAAATCAGTTTTTAACTCAAAATGTTTAAATCAATTAATTGAATTAGAGAAATTCATAGCAAATTTTTTACTTCACACAATGAGGAAGCATAATGTTTATGAAATAAACATAAAGGATTCCCTCCGACCCCCTTCTTGTTTCAAGATATTTTCATTATGCTCACTGCTTCTAAGAAAATGCGCGTATCGCTTCGGTATTAACACAAAAACAGTGTACTGTCAACATACAAGTTTGACCGTACTCAGATCAGCAACATCTACTTGTTGTTAATAATTACGTAGGGGTACCCACAAACGGCACTTTTCCTCTAAATAGTTCAATAAATGATTTTTATTTATTTTTTCAATTAAAAAATATTAATTTAAATTTTTTTTAAATATTTGTAGTCAGAATTTATGAGAAATTAAAAAATGTCACTACTTTAAACCATTTCATGACTAAATCTGCCCTATCGTGGTGTTCTGTGACTGCAATCGTAACAAAAACAATATCAAAACGTCAGAAATCCTAACTTTTTTTGCGTTCAGTGATTTTATTATACCAGAGTTAAATTTTTATTTCTAAAAATTTGTTATTTATTGTAGATGTTGCGGTACCTGTCAGCGTTAACATTCCTTTCAATTGCTTTAAGTGGTACAAGTCGAGAAAGTAAGTTTCCATCTGTAAAAATTATTAAATTGAGTACAATTTTCATGAAACCTAAAATAACAAATGTTACACTGAATCCGATTTTCGATTAAACGTAAAGTGGGCCTCACATTGGGCACAATTATTTGGCTTAAAAAATGTAGACCCTTTTTGGGATTTTTTTCCATACTGTTTAACCCACTAACGCCCAAATGTCGAAAAGTTTTACCTCAACTTCTTTATAAGAATTAAAACATTAAAAGACCAGATATTTTAATATCAATAGGTTCTAGGAGGTATTGGGGAACGCTCTTTCAGATTTTAAGGTCAAAATAAAGATCGATCCACGAGGAAATCCAATATGGAGGATAAAATTAGAAAAAAACCTAAGAAAAATTACTGTTTTTTTAAAAAAATATTTTTTTGAAGCCAAAAACATTTTTTTAAGTCATCTAACCTATCCTATTGGTGGATAAAGTAGTTATGCTTTCAAACTATGCTTATAAGAACATTCAATTTCAAGATGGCGGACTCAAAATGGCAAAAAAGTCACTGCGTTTTCGTAGATATGAACAGTAGAGCGTTTCACCGAAGACTTTTTTTCTATTTTCCAAAACCTTAACCCGAAATTAGACTTCTTTTGACCCACAAAATATGTCATATTTTTTAAAATTTTTTTGAAGGTCATTTAGAGGTCGCTATTTTGATTTTTATGCAAAATTTGTGCTTCTTATATAATGAAATTTTAGTTTTTACTTCTAAGTGTTCAACATTTCCAAAACTATGCACATTAAGACTAGAAGTAACCAAATCAGTAAAAAAATTGTTCCAAATTAAAAAAACTGTTTGAAGATTATTTTTATGACCTTAAATGAAAAAACGGTCTCCTTTACGTTCAAAGTTACTTTATTTTAATTTAAAGTCTGTTAAAAAATCTAATTCTTTTTTAGAATGTTTAAATAGGAAATATACCTTAATTTAGTAAAAGAAAATTTTGTTAGTTATGTTGAAATTATTTAAAATTTAAAGAATTTGAAGAAAAAATTGTTTTACACAATAAAAAATCAAAAGCATTTAATTATTTTTAGTAAAAATACACAGTACGTAAATATAGAAAGTATAATCGAAAGGATAACTTTGACGAAAAATATAAATGGTTTAAATATAATTTAAATAAATATAAACAATTAATAATAATAAAGTACAAGACACTTTTTTGTCTGTTCAAGCTCCTGTGCAAATATTAAGTGCTTTAAAATTTTCTCCATAGTCATTCTAGATGTATTTTTGGTCGCTGATGAAGGATTTGGGGCCAAAATTGACGATTTGGCAGTTTAAAGCTGTAAAAATTGCAAAAACGTAAAAATTGCAATTTTTTGTCTGTTTGCTGTCCAGAGTGCAGACAAACAGTTCGATTAATGTCGGTGCAGCTTTTCTAGACGTATTTTTTCTCGCTGATTATGAATTCAGGGTCAAATTTGGCGATTGGGTAATTTAAAGTTGTCAAAATTGCAAAGAACGATAAAAATTGCTATTTTCTTTCTATTTTGAATTTTATCATTATTTTGAATTATAAAATTACATTATCATAATGATTTAAAAAATTTTATATTTAAGAGAGTTTACCAATGGGATGTTGGTAGCGCACTTGTGCGCGCGCGTGTGTTGCTAGTTAAATATAATTTAAATATATTGCTTCCTCGTGGATGAAGCTTTGTAGTCCTTTTGTTTATTAAAATTTTAAAAAGGCGAAAACAAATTTTTCTCTATATAGAAACATGTTATATAAGATCCTGATCAATTGTCCGGATGTATGTTTGTGTGTGTGTGTATGTATGTGTGGACACCTTTTTTGAGAACACGATAACTTTAACAGGTTTTATAGGATTTGGGTAAAATTTGTTAGGCTTATTCATCACACTAATATCTCAAAATAGACGAAAGGATTTTAAAAAATAATAAAAAAAAAAATTTAATTTTCTTTTTTCAAAAATTTTTTTTTAATTGAAAAAATTTTTAAATAGCAAAATTTAAGATGATATATAATAGGGTGATTCTATAAACGAAGGACGAAAATGAAGAAAATATGAACACAACATTTTTTTCTCATTTAAGATCTGAAAAGTACTTTAACTTCAAGTTAATGAGACTAAAAAAGATATCTGAATGTGGCCAGACAAAATATTAAAAATTACAAAAGTTATAGTTGTTTGTAAACAATCTAGCGTGACATTATGGCAGTGTGTTTTATTGCTTTTGTTTGACTATGTTTTTTCTGACATTTTTGTACGTCAAATGGTTATAGTCAGCTATCACGTTTGTTTATAATATTCAATAAAAATTATTGTAGTGCTAATTTTTAAAATAAAAAAATGATGATACTCACTTATATTCACACCAATTCAGTATGAATGATTTACTGGAATAACACAAGATTTATAGTATGACAGGCTTCGCACTCATTAGTCAGTAAAAAAATAGAAGCAAAAAGTAGCCTGAAAAGTAAAAAAAGTAAAAAAAAGTAGCCTATGGAAAAAATTAAAAATATGTGTAGTTTATATATTAAATTGTATTTAATTTTAAAAAATTAAATTTCAACACTTAATTTACATAATAATTTGCATAATACTTTGTTTTTAGGGTATAAAAAATTAAAATTATACCATAAAAGTAAAGAATTTTCGAACATTTAAATGGTAAAAGAGGTAATTACAAATTTTTGGCTCAATCCATTATATTTTATATCAAAAGTCGTTAAGGCCTAATTTTTTAAAAAAATAGATACTTTCCGAAATGATTCTGGATGATATTTAAAGAACGAAATAAAAACAATTAAGTCAAAATTTTTATTATTTATCTTGAAATATGAGTTTAAAATGGAGAAGATATGGAAAACTCACTTTTTTAGCAATTAGAAAGATTATTAAAAATATTGACAACTGTTTTAAAATGTACAATGTATTTTACTGTCTCTTGTTCAGAATTAATTAATTTATTATCTTTTATTGACTACACAGCCTCAGAAAAAAAATTAATTTTGTCCGGCGAAATAGAGTAGTCATTGTTACGTCTTAGTTCTTACACTGAGAGACCTTTTGCACCGCATCAGAACTACGTGTGTGACTGCAGCGCCACTATAGGTTTTGGTGCGCTACATTCTAAATTTTGTATCGTGACTGCCCAAAAATGAAAATGAACCTTTCGGCCGTCAATTTTTTGGACAGCTACGCTCCAAAAATTGTACGGCTGCTGACCAAAAACGTAGTTTCATAGCTGACCGCTAGAATGCTCCGCAGCCGTCTGTCGAAAGTCTGTTACGGTGCAAAAGGTCTCTCAGTGTAGAGATAATCGCAAAAATCTGATAAAAATCCTGAATTAGGGACACAGAAAAAAGATGGTGTTATTTTTGTTGCGGGTAATTTTCTCCAATGCTAAAACCCATAAGATATAACCCAGATTTAGGGTAAAATTTGTTGCGTGTTATTTATTTATTCAAAATATCCCGCAGTCCATTTGGACCATACATGGGTAACGAAACCTTATAATTAGAAAAAGAAAATTATATTAATTAATAAAATATTACTGCATCAATGGCGCAAGTACTGTTTTTCCTTGTCGACAAAGATAATTTTTTGCCGAAACACTACGATATTGTATTTCCATGTACATCGTACTTTTTTCCACTGAATTCGAAGTCAGAATTGAGAGATAAGCTTAAATTTTGGAGATAATGCCAAAAAACTGATTTTGAGTTTTTTTGAATTTTTGTTTATTGAGTTTTTTGCAATTATCTCAAAACATTTCAGCAAATCTAACAATTCTAACTTTGGATTCGGAATCAGTGGCTAAAAATACATGGAATTACACTATCGCAGTGTCATACAAAAATTTTTTCACTTTTTGATTTTTTTTCTTTTTTAAGCAGTTTTTTGAGTTTATCTCAAAAATAAGAACCAACTTTTAAATTCTGATCCCGGATTCGGATTCAGTGACCCAAAATACGTAAGAATGACTAGTCTATTATGCCGGACAAAATTTTTTTTGTGGGGGTTTGTTAATTAAGTGAAAAAATGAAAATAATAGATAAAATATGTTTTCAAAGTTGGTCTGTGAAAGTAAGTAAGTTTAAACAGCACACAAAAATGACACAAAAATTAGATCTATAAGGTGCTAAATATCTTGCGGTTACTTTAACCTAGCGCATTAACATTTATGTAAAACTATGAAAAATAGCCGGTTATCTATATATATTTCGGTTTTGGGGATAAATCACTCTATTTTCTTAATTTCTAGTTTTTTATTTATATAGTTTATTTTTATTTTTATTTAAATATTTATTTTTATCTAGTTTTTTTATTTTCTTCTAATTTCTAGAAAATTTTAAAATCTTTAAGTTTTTAATTAATATTTATTTAGGCATATTTGAAATTTAAAGAACTGATTTAATACCAATTTTGCACAGTTTTTCATAAATTTAAATGGGTTAAAGTAACCGCAAGATATTCAGCACTTTATAGATCCAATTTTTGTGTGCTATTTAAAATTACTTAAAACCATATACAGGTTTTGAATTCATTAGTCAGCAAAAAAGTAACAAAAAGTTGTCTAAATAGTGAAAAAGTAGCAAATAGTAGCTTTTAGTTGAAGAGTGCGAAGCCTGGTATGAAAGTTTTCTATCACTTTAACCTTTAAATTAAACCTTCGTAAAAAATATTTTAATATTATAATTATATAGTCGATAGCTTTCACTTGCAATTATTTTTCAAATAATTATTTTAAATTATTTATTTTATTTTATTAAAATTGTATTCGTTTAAAATTTGTAAATTAAGTAAGCAACAAATTATTGGTTACATAGAAAACTAATCAGATTAATGTAAAATTATTGTAAATATTATTTTACATTTAGTTTTTTCAAAAAAGTTTGTTTATAATTTTATATATCTATTGTATTAGACTGGGTTTTCTTAAATTTATAAAAATTGAAATTTATATATATATATATATATATATATATATAT